TGTTATGTATTTTAAAGAAAGTAAGAAGACCAGTACCCGTATATATTTTCATTTGGAAAATTCTAGACCGCAGTATTATCGAAGAAGGACGATTGGTCCTTGGAGCGTAATAATATAGCTTTGTTCAGTTTTCTTAACTAAAAACAAAAAAAGAACAAAGAAATCTCGTGAAAATATAACAAGGACGGGTTAATGAGTAACTATGAACATGGTAGGTAGTTGTTAATCATAGGTACCTACACTAACAATATACAGTCATACTAAAAAATGTATTCATCCATTGAGATAAAATGATATTGTAGGTGTAAAATCCGGTCAAGTATGTAAATACTCAGCGGGATCTCGTTCCATTAATTTTTGCGTTCTATATACACAATATCTACATGATATATATTATGTAGATCTGCTTAAGCAAAAATAAAAAAAATATGTTACAGTAATATAAACTTTGGCATATATATATCAGAGAATATGTATTACAAGAAAACATGTTGTCTGTAAGAGTTTGCTAGTAGCGAAAGGATCGCCTTTTGAAGTATATTTTCTTTTATATTTTTTTATTTTGACTTTTGTCCGATAAGTATATTTGTTTATTATGAAAAACAACGGGTTTTCTTAAAATTTAGGTAACAACGGAATAATAAGTTTATATAAAACAGACTTGGTTGTTAAAATGTGTTGTATTTGCTTCTTTAGTAATAGAGATTAGTATCGTATTGTTTTCATTTCTCAGATGCTTATATATAGTATAATATAATATATCTATATATATATATACGTATACTTTTTGTAAGGTAACCACAACGTCAGAATTACTGCTGTTTTAAACTCTTTTAGGCACTAAGTGCATTTTAAGAATTCTTATGCTAGTGAAGGTGGATGTTATTGTTTGCGTAAATTTTTTTAATAGTTAATATTTCAATAGTCTTGCGATGCACAAGCATTAAAATTTGGGAGAATACCTGATGTATATTTATAATACGAATGTTGACACGAAAACTTCATTGATGTTCATTTAATTTCGTGTGCCGCATAAAAACCACTAAAGAATCGTATTTCGATTTTTAATGTGGAATTGATGCCAAGTTGACAAGGTAATGTTATTCATATGAACTCGGAAGTTCTGCTTTATATTCCTTTTGTAACTTAGTTACTGGGTTTTTTACTTATGCGTATACTTGTAAACAAGGCAGTAATTCATCAGAAAAGTGATAACCTTCAGATGAACAGTACAATGACATTTAAATATTATATATACTATTAAGCCCATGGCAACTACCATACGGAACCAATGCGTTGTCATCTTGTCATACCTGAATGATTGCGCTGGCATTTTAATCTTCAGATAGAAAAAACAAACCAATTACTCCCACCGTATTTTTGGTAAGTTCACTGTTTCATTTTAGAAATATTTATATTAAAAATTAAATGTATGAGCATTAAGTACTATATATCTATTTTACTAAATAAATAAAAACTTATAAATGGTGCCACAGACAGACTCTCTCATTTGCTATTTTGATGTTTGTATTTTTGATGTTCAGTTTCAGCCGATCATTTACTCGTGGAATGCAAAGCTAAACACAAATCCGCAAAATGTACCTAAAGTTTATTTGATGAAGCTTGCTAAGATGCGATGCTATGTTAAAAAGGTCCATTCTGGGCAGTTCCATGCCAGTCAGACAAGTAATATCCGAAATATGGGATTAAGTTAAGTCTAAATAATATAGCTCACTTAAATGTGAGCGATACAGAAGTGTCCTATGGTGCCCAATTACAAAATAAGAGTATATCTTTAATTATACCTAGTTGCAATATAATGTAGTTGTTTAAGACATATTTCCATTTTTCTTGTCATATTTAGCATCTGATCAAAGATGAAAATAACTATTTGTGACTGTTATCGTAATAATCACAATTAGAAACTGTAGCAAGTCCAAAAACTCATTAATCTTATAAATATTAAGAATAAGTTCCGCGTCTTTACCTGTCATCTGTAACTTAACAGAAAAAAATATAAGTATATTTTTCTTTTACTACTACGCAACATATAAAAGTCGATGGTATAAACGTAGACTTCCACTGTAATATCAAACTCCGAAATTTATTAGAAATTACATTGGTATTCAGCTGAGAGAAGATAAACAACACGAATGCTATAAATAAAGCAATAATAAACGAATGTTTAGACTTTTAAATTATTCTCCATAAAATATGTAACATAGCCTAATACTAACACTTGAAATTTGAAATATGAAGAAATTCTTTCTTCTAACGACGTTGCAACTATGAAAATATTTCTAATTTCACGAGATAACGAAGGGTGAAACCGCGTAAATCTTACTAATACCTATTATAAATAAATGCGAATGTTTGTAAATATGTATGGAAGTTTGTTAATTTTTCACGCAAAAACTACTAGCTTCAAATTAATATACGAGTAGCTTGTATATCAGAATAATACATAGGCCATAATAAAAAAAAATGTTAGGTAAATTTGGCGAAATATAACGATAAATGTCAAGTAAGTGTGATGCAGACAAAGTTGCAAGAGTCAGCTAGTTTAGTTTAATATATCTACATATAGTGATATTACAAAGAGGTAAAGTTTGTCATTTTGTGTGGTTGTAGATGGTAATCTCCGGATCAACTGAAACTATTTTGAAAATTAGGCTATATAACATCACGCTACACACAATAGGAAATGCAACGAAATATTGGGAAAATGTGAATCAAAAGAAGTTGCGCTGGTCAGTTAGCAAATAATATATACTAATAAAAGTATCAATGCGTTCACCATAACGTCGAAGTTATGTTTACGCTACTTACTACATATCTGGGATAACATTTACTAGTATAATTGTAATTTAATAAAATTATAATATACAAAGTAACGTTTGTTTCGAAAAACGTGACAAAAATAGGGTATTTATTCCTTTTTTTTTATTTTCACATCAAATTCATACCGCACCAGGGAAATAGCATACAGCAGTGTTCGAATTTTGAAAATATGTTGAACAAGTTTTTTTCTTGTCCATATAAATAACGTTTTCATACATTCTATATATTCTTTCTTTATTATCGCAAAAGTGAAGTAAAACCCCAACTGGCCATGTCAACATTTACTTGACAAGTGTCATCATCGAGAGATCGACGGAGTCGCTCGGTGCTCTCTACGTTTTCGGGAGGTCATTGTGCGCTTGAGGTGACGTCACTGGTGACCTTGGCGCGTTCGTGTACTGCCCGCGCGTCGGCCTCCCCCCTCTATGTACGCGTGAAAAATACCGTCAAAAGAAGCGTGCTGTAAAAGTGTTATTAACATAATAAGTAGGTACATTAATATCAGATTTAATACATTCAAAATGTATAAGTAATTTTTACTTTAGCTCTCTTTTTATGGAAGATCATGCAAGCGTACATCTAATCACTCTATAGATAGTTATATTAAAAATGGAACATTTACATTAAAGATGTAGATTAAAGATATGAGAAAAACTATTAGGTAGAGAGATAATATAGAGGTATTTTATCAACCTAATAGAACCAAAAACAATTATTGTTACAATTTTTTACTGTTTATCAGTAGGGTAATCCCAGAAACAGCTTAATCTGTTTGGTATTTTCACTACTGCATTGGAAAACTTTGCATGGTAAACTTCACTTTAAATTTTCTCGTCGTTTTATTCTATTTATTCTAATCAGTTTACAATAAAAAAAATCTATTTCTTTCTTTCTAACCGATTAAGAGGATTAGCTAGTATTATACTATAATAATTATATTTTAGTGTTGTATATATATACCTTCTAGAAAGGGGTAGTTAGCATTATTTAAACGAATGTGATAGTGTATATTGTGGTAAACGCAACACTTCACGTGTCCACATTTCTCCTAGTATATTTGCATCCAACGTGACAGGAGGAAAATCTACCTTTTTTTCGGACTACTGTAATGCTGTTGGCCGCAGCTGGCTTTTACTGCTTCACTGGACGATAGGGGGCGAGTGCAGTGGAACTCCAAACCCGCGGAAGGACTTACGGAGCGGGTGCTTACCTCCGTCTCTCGAAAATAATTATTTTGTTTTTGATGTTTCCATTACCGGAAAATCAGTATGAAATATATATTTCTAGGTAACAATATGGCTCGCTTGTCAGTTTGTAATAATTAGCATATAAGTTGGTTAAAAAAACTGCTATTTATGCTATAACTGTTACGAATGGATTAAATAAGAAAATGAACCGAATATTCATGATTTCAATGACAACATTATACTCGTGTAGATAATTTATCTGTACTTCGGATACCGCCCACAAACCATAGCTTCCAGATATTCGAATAAATTATATAATGAAACCTTTTCATAATTCTAACTCCAACAGAATTTAAGAGGAAAGTCGTCGAGCTTTTTTATGTTTTATTCGTAAAAAAAGTTTTCATTTTGTTACGATATTCATCAGATTTTCGTATCAACATAATTATGAGATTTGTATTTTTTTACAAAAAGAATTATGATGATCCTTGATTTTGATAATCGTTATTCATATCTAGATTCATATTAATAATAATAATTAAAGATGAGATATTAAATCATTATCAATCCCGAATATTGCAATATCTTGTCGAATTAGTATTAGCTAAAGGGTAACTAAACGTTCATTTTTTGAAGATTTCTGCTACTTTATTCAAAACTAGTGGCTCGACCAGACTTGTCCTGGCTACTCATAACTTTAGGGCATTTATTTTTGATGGATAAAAATTTTATTTATATCTTTGGTCCTGACATAGAGATAAGTTACAAGTAGTATACATTACAGAACAATATTATTCAATATGGGTAAACCCGCACGTGTTTATCAAGGTTTACATAATTGATTATAAGTCAGCATCATTCAAGTAGTAAGACGCTGATTTTCATCACAATGTACCACTTAATATGAGAAGGGAAAATACATTATCTCCGCGTAGGATATGAAGCTGACTGAAGGTTACTACACAAACTTACCGTTTATCAAAGCGAATCCGTCTGAAGCGTTGGTTGATATCGTCAGTATAACACTGTATCTGTGAACAAATTATATATATTTTTATAAAAAATATTAAGTAACCAAAGATAACAGAGTAATGTCTATGTCTATAATTAGATATGTAAATCATATTGGAAGGTAAAGGATTGTTTGTACAAGACGAGTGTGCAAATAACATCAAGAGTATAAGTACATTTCAAATACTTGTAAGAAGGGTCAAGTGATCATCGGTTGATTATTTTTTCATTACTGTGATTGGCAAACAGGGTAACGGCCCGCCTAATGGAAAATAGCAAGATATAAATTACTTCTCGTTTAGGTCTCTAAATTTCCGTATAGTCCTATTGCAGTATAGTTCAACTTATTTTAATTCATGTAGCTACGTCTTCATATTTAACGTTTACCTTATAGTAACACAGTTATCTAACTAGCACGGAAGGGAATGATTTTGAAGTGTATGTCCTCAGAAATATTTTGTTTTATATATAATTAATGTTTTTGTGGAAAAACTAAGTATATAATATATTTAAACAGAGGTAGACTAAAGTCATCTGCGATATGACTAAAGTCATATGCATCTGTACCTTAGTCTCACTTTTATCAGTCACCAAGCAGCTTGCTTTGTGGGCTGTTTTGGTTGTAAGGTGCGATTAAGCAGTGAAATTACAGAATAAGAGGCGTTGATATCTTAGTACTTTGGAATGGCAATGGATGGGTAGTATGACGGGTTTCACTTGGTAACGTAATATTCGTAGTTTTATTCTATATTTTAGATTTGCTTAATAGTTTATACTTTTAACTAAATAGTAGATACTAGATTGTATATTGTAAATATCGCCAATACAGTACGAAAAAGATTTATCTCAATAACTTTGGAAACATGCCCAGAGCAGATTTTTACTTTGTCATTGCCAATTCTTGACTGCATGAAATATGTGATCGACAAAATCCTCTCTGTCACATTCACTTGATATTTAGATCAGATAGGTAGACAGTATTTTGTTTGAAAATGTTTACTACATATATTAACATGTTAAAATTTACTTTTAAAATATTCGTAAACAAGAAATGTTTGCAAAAAATTAGAGAAAAATAACAGTATATGAAAATAAGAGTTTATGTACGATCGTTACATGTATTGTAGGTAATGTTGCTACAAGCCATTGTTTGAATTTATATTATTTGATAGATTAAAGAGTAAAAAGACAAGATTTTGGATAGATTTGGATAGATTGGATGCACAGATAGGTAACAATTTCGAATCGTTTGCTCGCTTAACATAATCTTATCAAAAAATTCCGTTTGCATTCATTATTATTCGTCAGATGTAAACATGGTATATCTATTCCAGGTATCATATTTAACGACACATTAAAAAAAATATAAGCGTAACGTCTAGTAGTCTGTCATGTGACAGACTACTAGACATTACGCTTATATTTTTTGATGATGTATGTACATCTAATCATAGAAAAGTTTAATGTTTATATTTATAATATCAGGTGCATGTAATGTACATCAAGATTAGTGAATTTTCTATTTGGACGAACAAAATCATAGACTTTATGTTTTATATTTTAGCAGTGATAAAAATAAAATAATATCTTTTGTTATTAAGTATGTTTAAACCTTCTTCAGAATTATTATAGAGGTTTTTTTGAATAAATGATATTTTCCTCACATTTTAGTAGAAAGTGAAACTCCGGTCGATCAACATCTATCTTTATCAGTCACCCTAAAAATTCCAAGAAGCGAAAGTAGGGCAAACTTTATCTTGATAATATTATCGGGTATTTTTTATGTCAAGTCCAGTCTCTATAATAAATTCAGACTGATCTCTATTTTTTTAATTTTAAATAAACTGTAGAATAAAATTTCATAATAAAACAAATAATACAGTGCACAGAGCACTGTTAAATAGAGCTTTTACCTGTTAGGTATCAGACCTAGATTTAGAGTAATGTTTTTTAAATTTTACACTGTATATTTGTATACATAATAAATATTTTATTCAAGGTACTGATTGATGGACTTATCATCTTGATCGGAAACTAAGTTTTAACAAATAAACGTAACACAGTATTTTGTATTAACAAGTTATTATTTAATGACAGAGATTAAAATATTATACTACTTTTTCAATCAATTGCTAAAACACACTAAGACACCTCCACTTCACCAAATATAAAACTCCTACAGTTTCTTATTTTTGGTGAAGTGGAGGTGTCTAGTTACCGGATGAGTTGATGATTAGTACGACATCGATATACTTAGAATAATAAAATATTACAAAAAGAAATGACAAGAAAATATAATTATAAAAATTGAAAATAACCTAAAAATCTGTCATGTGTGTAGTGAACCACAACAATGGAGTGATAATTTTTGACGTATGTTCGGCGATATATTTGCCAAAACTTAACTAATTTCGGTGAATCTTTTCATAATCAATTGTCGGACAATAAAATAGTAAATGAGTTCAATTTCAAAAGGTAATTTCCTTAAAAGCAATAGAACCGTAATGAATTAAAACTTACATTACATTAACATTCGAATCACATCAAAACTGTATTTCAATGTCACAAAATTGTTAATAATATAACTTCACTAAAGTTCATGGCGTCCAAAATTAATTATTCACTGTAACATCAGTTATAAAATTTCCCTAATCCTGTTTCAGACGAAAGTAATGTACTTATACCCAATCGTGGAGCAACTGACTTTATTATGCTAATTACTAACTTCGTGCCTGCCAATGTCATTAATGAATTAACACTTGCAAGTCAATTACGTTTAAAATACTGTTTGTACAATGGACTGTCACATATATACTTAAAGTACCTACGACCAGTATGGTATCTCATCGGTCAGACTAAATGTTCTAACTTTACTAATAGGGATGTAAGGAGGCTTGTTGAGTTAGTCGAGACGTAGTGGTGATCGGCTTAAGAATAACACATCAATAATGTGAATGAAGAATACTATTATATTAATACCCAAAAACTGAAATTTGAAGGCATGAAAAACGTTTATATTGTTAGTAGTCTTTGCTTTAACCCACTATTCTCAAGTCTCGTCTTTGTTGTGTGTTTTTTTTTACTGTGGAACACTGCAGTTCGAGAGAACAGAAAGTAACACAATATTACATAGTAGAATTTTGAGGACATCCTATATGAATTCGGTTGACAAATATCATAATAAATCTACGTCCTCATAAAGATATGAACACAGTTTGATACTCAGAAGAAATACATTAGCAAATTGGAAAACTTTATATTAATGATTTATACTTTGTACTCGAGGACATCTTTGGGAAATACATAGCAACTCGTTACTCGGGTCTGACTGAACGTGCACAGATTTATTGCTATCGTTATGTGCACGCTGACAGCTTTATGTGGTGTGGTTGAAAGTGGAGAGCTGCCAGTCGTATCATGTAAACACGTGTTTGTATTTATGACAGAATATCATAGCAAAATCAAAAATCAAATGTACTTGTTTAGTTAAGAATTCTTTCAACATTTATCGTATGTTATTTTATAAAATCATTAATTTGTTTGCTGGCCGCACGCTCATTTAATTGCGTATGTTTCGTTCGTTTATCTTTGAAAAATATTATAAATAAGGTATAGTAAGTGAGGTTGTAGAGAGTAATTTTCTGAATCAATTTTGTATATTCTATTTCTATTCTTTTAGCAAAATTATGAAGGCAGACTATACTATATATATCTATTTTAACGCTATGATCAATAGGAGCGGAGCTACAATGATAAATATTGCAAAAATGGTTGACATGTGTTATAGAAGAAGTACAGCGTATCAGCAAGTAATGTATATATTAATGTAAATAAAAATATGAAATAACAATAGAAGAAAAGTGATAGATTTTTTAAAATATTTTACATGTACTCTTTCATTTATAAAACTACATTCTGTATGTTACAGCTGTAAACGTTACAGATGAACATTTGAATTAAAATAGTCACAGTTTTTTTGGAGAATGCGTTTTATTTCGTTTTAATTCATTGACTGACGTACTTGTTCTCTACAGAGCCAATCAACGATATTAAAAAGGAATCTTTGCTATTATTTATTACCAATCTAATCTCAATCTACTATTATCAATATACAGATCGTTGTGGCAGTTAATTTTATGTACAATTTGATCTGTTGAATAGGTATTATATTCAGACGCTTTCACTTTTCATTACGTTTTAAATGAGAGAAAGTTCTAGAATATAGAATACTATAGACGTGTTTGTTGATGTGAATACAGTAATAATGTGCTACGAGTTTTTTATATAATATGTAAAAAGATCCTGTTCTCATAGTCATAGTATTTTTGTAGTATCATTATGTCGGGTTCTAATATAGATAGATACACCACTTTCTAGTACACTGTATATAGCAGTATACATCACATCATATCATAAATGTATTCAAATCTATACTTATACCTTTTTAGGCATACTATTAACCCTTATAAATGTTTTATAAAATATAAATTTTAAAAATTTAGGAATGCATTCCACCATGCATTGCATGTTGTTAACTAAAATATCTTTAAAAATAAATGTATTCTTAAGGCGTGGAAATAATGTTTTATTGGCAGAGTTTTGCACTCTGGACGCAATTAACGTTTGGCATTCAAAGCACCCACTTTCCTCTGTCATTAATCTACAGATGCGCCTGCATGAAGTGTGAGGTCACTGTAGGGCAATATTGGTGTAATGCGTAGTGTTGTGCGGTCACTCGTTAACAATATCTCAAGATTTTTGTATGTGACTGGCAAGACAAATAAGCTGATGGTCCCTGTCCATGATAAGTGGAAAGTTTTGGTTATATATTAAAAAAAGTTGGTAGTTGATAAAATAACTTCCGCTAAGTTATTAAGTATTAAGTAAATTCATTAGTATTACACAAATCAGAAGGATATCCTAATGGAAAGAGTGGCAATGTATAATTATTATATTCTTTAATTTACATTTGTGCACATTAGTAAGGGGATATCTACCATGATAAATAATTTTTATGATC